CCAGCCCTACACAGGTAATGATAAAAATGTTGAATATTGGCTCTTGATTGCTAAAACAGAAAAACTTTTCCATGAATCAGGAGGCGGTATAAAATTAAAGTTTGTACTATTTCCGGCTCATTAATTGCCAAGCCCAAAAATCATAAAATTTTGTAGCAATTATCAATTATCTGCTCTTAGCAGTTACTGTTTTCGGAAATATTAATTTATTTATTTATTTATACTATTTATTATAGTCCCCAGTACATCGACCCTTAAGGCCTTAAATTTTTGATGTCGACGCCAAACTTTCTGAGCGGCTTCATAACATCAAAGTTTAATAACACCAAGTCGGACAATATTTTTCATATCTCCACCCTGTGCGATGGGACATTTCCGCGCTAGCTCTTTGGGAAGTTGTCGTTCTGACGTCCCTAAGGAAGTTGATACATGTACGTGTAGTTCTATAATGCCAATCGATTGTTTTTGATGTTACAATAACGATATCATATACGTGGGACAAGAATCACGTGACTTCGGGAGGGCCCGACGCCCACAACAACATGTCGCTGTGGCGTCCCTATAAGGAAGTTGATACATGTACGTGCGTTTTTAATACCAATCGACGGTTTTCACATTACATTAACGATATCACATTTGTCGGGCAAGAAATTTGAGAAAGGTTTGAAAAGATGTACTTACAAAAAATTATTGTCCGTTGTTTTAAATCTGACACTTTTCGTGTGAGGAGCGAGGGGGTGAAGCATATGGCAAAAACAGAGGTGACGTCGGGTGACCATTGGCGTTCTAGTGTAAGGAGTCACCAGCTCACCTTCCTTTGGAGTATCACATTAAAATCGACGGACTATACGCATGTGTTTTTCCAAAAAATCGATATTTTAGCTGCAAATCGCATATTAAATTAAATTGTCGCAAATTAAATTGTTTATAAATTTTAAATGCCGCAAAATTGAACTAGCTTTTTTACGTTGAGATTTGTGATCAGTGCATCAAAAAACATATTGTCAGAAATGCCGGAAAAACCTGGCATCCCACTTGAAAAGAATTTTTCCAAATTGTTCACAATTACAATAACTATATTGATAAAAGAAATTCTAAAAATAACAATCAACACATCGGACCTCCAAAGCCACGGGATTTTTGTCCGACATATGTGATATCGTTAATGCATATAAAAAACAGTCGATTGACATTGAAACTACACCCACATTTATCAACTTTCTTAGGGACGTCAGAACGACAACTTCAGGAAGAGCTAGCGCGGAAATGTCCCACCGTCGGGTGGAGATATGAAAAATATTGTCCGACTTAGTGTTATGAAGCCGCTCAGGAAGTTTGGCGTTTACATGAGTTACAAAATTTTTAAGATCGATGTACTGGGGACTATTATCGCCGGTTCCTGAATTTTGATTGTGATTAAATAGTATATTGTGCAACAAGTGTTAAAAATAGCACTTTGGGCATGGGGAAGTTTGGTGGCAATCGTGGCACGAGCCGCAGGCGAGTTTTACAAACCACCCGAGTGTGAAAAGTGCTTTTTAACACGCGTTACACATACTATAGTTTTTCTACGACTACGAAATAAATACTTACCTATATTCACACTAAGATTTAATTTTACTAATCTCCAAAATTTTAACAAAAAGGAATTATTCAGTTATTCTTTAATACAGATAGATGTCTATTATTTATATAAAGAATCCAAAGTAAGGTTTCCATAAACTAAAAGTGGAAAAAAAATTATTATAATTGGCAAAACAAAAATTCGGTGGAAGTGTCATTTCTATTTTAGCGTGTGAAATAGTATATTTCATACCGAGGTGGGAAGTGTTTCATTACTGTTGAAAGATTACTATAATCTCGAGACAGGAATGAAACTTCCTACCGAGGTTTGTATACTATTTTATTTACAACAATTAGGTACAACCATTACAATTTTGACTGTAGGTACCTATATACCTATTTAAGAAGCATTGGTAATTCTAACAAAACACATTGTTAGAAGAGCAATAATTGACATTAGAAAACTAAGTATACATTATTATTGCTCCAACAAATGATTTGATTGCAGATAATAAATAATATGGATAATGGAAATTAGTAAAATAGTATATTCTTGTATTAGGAGAAGAAGCTTCACTTACAAAAAAGTGCTTCTACTCCGTATGCAACACACTATTTTTTCTCCAAATGAATGGGGTAAGCTCGGGGGTAACTGGTTGGTTGAGCGGCAGTAAAAGTACGAGCGGCACTAAAAGTACTTTTACTGCCGCTGCGGCTGCCTAGCAGCATAGAAATTAACGGGTCAATTCTGTGCACATCTGTAAGCAAATCTATAAATTTCTATAAGCTTATAGACACTGCAAAACGCATCGATTGCCAAATACCCGATTGGAAATATTTACGATCTTACAAGATATTCTGCAATCTAAAGGAAGTGCAGAATTGCAAACTGTCCATAGGCAGCTATAGGCTTATGGAAATTTATAGATTTGCTTACAGATGTGCACAGAATTGACCCACTAATCCCTAAAATCTTGACAGGTGTTAACAAAGTGAAGTTTTTTGACGTTTGGAGAAAAAGATAATTACGTCAATACTAGATTGCAATAGCAACAATATTTTTGTTGTTTTTAAAATATTTATATTTATGAGAAGCATAGAGCTTTAATGGGACAACCAATATAATCTATAGTTGAAAAAAACAATAATATTTGTGAAGGAAGTAGGAACAATAACAATTAACAATATATTTATGATACATTTAACTATATGTGTGGTTGTGCCTATATCAACTGTATTATATTGTTGCATTATAGGTAGATATATCTGGTTGTGATAGCGAAAATTTCTCTGAGTGTAAATACTAAATAGAAATTAAAAAATTTTGTTGGCAAGTTTTGACTTATTTAAAAAAACGTTTGACATGCAGGACTTGTTTTTAAATTTTAGGAAAGGAGGGCTTACTTTTCACCCGGGAGGAAAGTAAAATACAAAAAAGTGTCACTTTCCAAACATTTGAAAAGTAAGAAATGTTAACATTACGTATGTGGTTGTGAATAATGTATTTTTCGCATGCTCCGAAGCTTCTAAAAAGTAGTTTTCCTACGAGCGTGCGTAAAGTAGTTTTCCTACGAGCGTGCGCAAAGTAGTACTTTTCCGCACGCATTGTCGTGCTCAAAGTTCCACTTATCGGCACTCGGTGCGGATTAGGCCTGTATCCGCACTGAGTGCCGAAAAGTAAAACTAATTGTCAAACAACAATAAGTGCACCTCGACTTTGACATATGATGACTAATTTTTCTCTATCTCTGGTAACAGCATCTCAAACACCGAATATAATTAACTCTGACACAGTGTCAGATTTGTTCTCCATTTATATGAAGGAACAAACTTCTTTCTCAACAAATTTGAACGCTATTAAGATGAGCAGCTCTAACGAGGATTTTCTATTATTTCTTTATTTTTTTGTTATGTAATTTTTTGATAAATAGGTTCGCTTCAAGTTAATTGAAAAAAATATTTTTTTTTTTTTTGTTAATTTTTGTTGTTACCTATACCTGGATATGAAGCTCGTAAAAAAAATAACCATTTTCTACAGCTGTGCGGAAATATCGATGCGGAATTTTTTTTCCGCACGTATGGTAGAAAAACTATCGTACCGAACACTTGCGGAAAATGTTTTTCTGCACTCGGCTGCTTCACCAAACTCTACTACGCGTCGTTCGATGAACTGCAGACTCGTGCGGAAAATTCATTTTCTGCACTTATTAGGTACCTATCGGGTCCTCAACAAAAAAAAAAAGATTGCTATGGGTTTTTAAACGTATGTCTTAACAATAGGTTTGTTCGGACTTAGTTCAGAATCGGTTCTGTATTGAGCTGCGCATGCGCATTTGTTTATTTATGTTCGATATGAACAAATACGCAAGCGCAGTTCAATTCAACTGATTCTGAATAAAGTCCGAACAAACCTAATAATTTTCTCCTTTGGATTTTAATGTCAAAATGTCATGTCAAAAATCCTGACCAATAAAGAAACAATAATGCGACGTACATACGTTTTCGTAATCAAATTACTCTTTGATTGTTTTTGTTTTTGAAGACCTGTTAGCTCTTTCGCATGCTGTTCGAAATAATTGATGTTTCAGGTCAATTCGTAGTGCATGCTTTCTAGAGCAGTCATAGAAAAAAATATATCCAATTATGCAAGAGTCAGTAATTTGGACTATTTTTGGCTTTTGCATTAGCGTTACTCTCAGAAAAATTATCAATGAATCAAGAAGCCGGACATGCACAAGATTTGAAACAAAACTGGAAACTTCTTTCCCAATATCTGCAAAGAAACTAATATTGATCTTCCTGAAAAACTCTCAGTTCAACGTAATGCCATATGCGTGAAAGAATTCGAAGGTGAAACTAAGGCACCAAGCACCTCACGACATCATAAGAAGTTGCATCCAGAACATGCTAGGGAGTTTCAAAATGAACATCAGATAATGCTTGATAAATTTATAAATGAATTATTAGAGTATATTGGAGTGCTTATTATAAAAGGCTTGAATAAGCCGTATACTTACATGTATACCTACAAGAAGAAACGAAAGTACCTTATTAAAAACTTTAGTGGAAAATATATATTATCAAAATGTTTATACTTATAATATGAATAGGAGATAGAAGTATTAATACAAAAGATTTTTTTTTTAAATTAAATTTAAAACTTTTCAGAAGAAAGAGAAAAATTGAAGCTTATCAAAATGATTGCTGATATCTTTAATATTTCCTTATTTTTTTTTCTAGTTTTATTTTTTATAAAAGTTACCCTTTATTCTCAATCACCTTTCTTATTCTAAGAAAATCAAACAAAAAGAGTTATTTTTTACTCTATATTTTTATTTCATTCATTGCAAATAATATAAATTAACAAATTATCAACAATTCGTACACACTGTACAAAAATGTTCAATACATAATAGCATAATACATTTATATACAAATTTTTACAAAAAAATTGGGAAAATCAGTCGCAGCATAGTATTATAATAATCTGGTACAATCACAGAAACATAACTTATACGCTAACTTAAAATAAACATTTGCAATAAATAAATTAACCGTGGAAAACCTAAATATTGCAGAATACCATCAAAACAAAAATTGACCAAATTTAGAAAATAGAATCGAACATACCAAAAAATCCAATTTTGATAAATTATCACTAAAAAAGTCACTATATGTGTGTATAATCACTAATACATCACCGGTACCGGCCTTCTTATCTCCATGTCCGCACTTCCAGTACTTGATGCTGGACTAGAAGATGCTGAATACATCATTGGAGGTGTTGGAAGTGATGTGGATATCGACGGAAACATTCCCATATGGTGTGCTTGTGCAAACGATTTCGTTGTAGGCGGTTGATGATGATGATATAGTGACGAATATAATGAAGAATGCAGGGAAGTTGGAACCTGGTGATGACCCTTGTCTCCTTGTGGAGAATACGTTGGAACTGCACTCATTCTGGACATATCAAAAGCCGGATTGAAATACGGATAAGGTGAGCTTAAACTGTCCATAGGTGGAAAATACGGTAATTGTAAAGTAGGAAATCCCATTCCAGGTTTTAATCCTGACGGTAAAGGACCTTTGGGTTTCCTTCTGGGTCTGTATTTATAATCTGGATGTTCTTTCATGTGTAAAGCACGTAATCTTTTAGCTTCATCGATAAAAGGCCTTTTGTCGGATTCAGTAAGTAATTTCCATTCAGCGCCGAGTCTTTTGGAAATTTCTGAATTGTGCATTTTGGGATTATCCAAAGCGATTTTTCTGCGCTGTATTCTGGACCAAACCATAAATGCATTCATGGGTCTTTTGATGTGTGCATCGGGTACACCAGGACTTGGGCTGTTGGATTGTGCTGGGGGTTGTTGATGATGACTCTGATGATATTCTTCCATCATGGGGCTAGCACTAAATCCGTACATGATTTGATAAATACTTAAATAGCACTTTCACTGTTCACTGTTTGTTCTTTACTAAACTGAGTTTGAGTAACGACTGGCCTGTATAACCGACGGTAAAAGGTATTTTGTTCACACACAGAGGCGGAGCGTTAAACCCTAAAGAGAATACGTGGGGGAACGTTCAAGCTCCTCCTAGTTTTTTCACCATTGGTTGTTTCTTTGCCCCTCTCTTCGTCTTTCACTCATCATATAACCAGCTTGATCTCTTTTTAATTTTTTTTTTTTTTTGATTTTCTCATAATACTCTTACAAAATATCTACCTGTTCGTGTTTTCTTGTACGCCGGACGTAAAATATGGGCATTGTTGCCCTCCCGTTATAATCTTTGAATTAATGTGTTTGCAAAATGTTCCATTATTCGAGTTCATTTTATATTTAATGTAGAGCTCCGTAATAAATTTTCGGTGTTTTCGATGTAGTACTCTGGATTCTTTTTTGTAGCGTATTGTCGCTGTTATTAAAGTCATCGTGTCAGTATTGTTAGGCTTTTATTTATTGTTTGAAATTAAATTTTTATTATTTCGTATAATGCGAGGTATAATGTATCTGTATTGTAATTATTTGCGAGTTTATGAGGAAAGAACAAAGTTGAATGAAACTGTCAGGAAAACTGAATTAGGAGAACAGAGAACTAAATAACTGAAGCAGTAAATAAATTACTAGGTAGGTATTGGACATTCTTTAGTTTTTATGTGTTAGGCAGTAGAAATATTCATGTGTTGTTTGTAATCTTATTTGTACCTAATAGGTAAATATTTTAATGAATCAGAAGGTGAACCTGGCCAATTATCGGGGATTGGATCTTGATATTAGCATTAATAAAGAAGCCGCCGTGCACTGGAAAGCATTTTAAATTGGCTTAGTTAGGATTAATAAAGAAGCCTCTGACCTGACATGTTTTTGGCATCATCTCAAGTTGCCGAGCAGAATCAATCGAAAATTTCCATGCAAAATAATTATAAAGTTTAAAATAAAAAGCCAGTAATTGTTGGAAAATACATTTTTTGTCGTCAAATTTCAGATAGGTAGATAGAAATTTATCGAATTGCTTACAGATGTGCACAGAATTGACCCATCAGTATCAAAATTTTTTCACATGTAGATATGTTTAGGTTTATTGAGAAAAACTGAAAAATGTTATTCATCATCCTGATAGAACATAAATAAAGTCTTTTTTTCATGTATGTGTATAACGGCCATGTATAGGTAGGTATATATGTGGTAGGTATGTGATAAATACGCTTTGAAAAACAGGTTAATTAAATGGTATCAAAATAGTTTATTGTGTATTTAGGTGGACGATGTACCTAGTAGAACATCGAAGGCCGAGAATGTGCTTTCCTAATATTTTTGAAATAATGAGAAATGGTATTTGGTATTTTCATATTTTATTACTTGGGTACCTACTTGAATTAATGTTTTCCCTCTGGAAATTAGAATGTACCTATTTTTTTTTTATAGGATAAACTTTGTTCATCAGGTAGGTATATTTCTGTAAGAACTTTGTTCTTTGTTTTTCAATTTTTTGACTTAATAGGTATAGGGTCAGAGCACAATATTTATATTTGACCTAGATAACTCCTCGATAGACGATAATGAAGCTTAATAAAAATGTCTGATCGCAATATACTATTTTCCCCTTCGAAAAAATTACCTATATAGGTACTACTGTTTCATCAACAGTATAACATTATGGCTATGTTCACCAGAATCAAAACGGATTGTAAACAGTTTACAAATACCAACAGAATATGTTGGGTAAACTCTTGGTTCTGCTGAACGATTCAACTTTTCAATGATAGAACGTCACCCTCTGAATGACAGGTCACCACACAAAACACAGTGCTGAAAATTATGAACACTCTCAAATTATGCTTGCAAAAATGGCGACCGTTTGCAAAACATGTTTGGTTTCAACACAAAGTCAACGTAGCGTTCAGCAGAACAATCGCAAACCGTTTACCAACGTTTGTATCTGGTGAACGCGGCCTAATAATACTTACTAGGTAGGTATACCTAACTAGGTAGGCAATATCTGATGAATTTGAATATTTTCTTCTTCTTCTTCTTCTTTTGAGTTTAACACTGCGTTAGTGCGACAGCACTCTTACGCAATTTTGGGTGAGTCAACTTACTGCCATGTGTTGTGTTTTCAGTTAATTTTTGTTCATGGAAAGGGAGGGGAGTGGGGAAAGGATAGGTAGGAAGGGAAAGGAGGGAAGGGGATTTCATTCACTAGAAAAGAAGTGGAGCTCTTAAATTTGTGAACATAGTTCTGTCAGGGTTAATAGTATAGTTATCGTCAAATAAAGATTTAATTATGTCATTTGTATGGTTAGTTACTTTGTCAAGAAACCGCGTATGTTTCTCAACAAAGTACTCCTGGATTGTATCAACGCTCAGGTCTGTAAGTAGGTCCGCATTGCGGACATACCACGGAGCGCCGACCATCCTACGGATTACCTTGTTTTGAAACACCTGCAGTTTCTTTTTATTTTGACGTGTTGTCTGTGAAAAAACTGTTGCACCGTAAAGTAATGTAGGTCGGATAACTTGTTTATACAGTAATAGTTTGTTTTTTAGAGTTAGTTTACTGTCCTTGTTAAGTAATGGATAAAGCAATCCCACTAATCTGTTGCATTTATTCAGTTTATGATAAATGTGGGGGGTCCAAGAAAGTTTACTGTCCAGTAATAGTCCTAGATATTTAATTTGATTTGTCCATGTAATTTCAGAGAATGTCAATATGCTTGTCACGTTTGTTGGATATCAGGACGGCTTGGGTCTTATCAATGTTAATTTTAATTTTCCATAATTTTGCCCAGTCAATTATGGAGTCAAGATGATTTTGTAGTCGTCTGTGTATGTGATGTAAGTACTTTTGTGAAGTGTAAATACAAGTGTCATCTGCGTAGATGGACATTTTAGTATGGGGATTAATGGGGATGTCAGCCGTGTAATTATAGAGCAGTGGAGCCAGGACAGAACCTTGAGGAACTCCCGCTTCTATAGGTCTGACATTTAAGAAAGTATCTTTGTTGAGTTTGACACGGAAACTTCTGGCTTTAAGGAAATTAATGAGCATTTTGACAAGAGATAATGGCAGAAAATATTTGTCATGAAGTTTGACTATGAGTCCAGCATGCCAGATGCGATCAAAGGCTTTCTCAACATCCAGCAGCACAACACCCGTTGAGGCGCGGCGCTGCAGGGCGCGAGTAGTTTCTTCAACCAACCTGGCAAGCTGAATCTCAGTGAAATGATTTGGACGAAAACCAAATTGTTCGTCAGGGAGAATGCTGTCCAGATAATGTAAGGATTTAAGTTTTTCGTGAATTATTTTCTCAAGAATTTTAGAAAGTGAAGACAGAAGACTGATTGGACGGTAATTTTGTGGAAATTGATGATCCTCATCTGGTTTTGGGATCATGAATATTTTCTATTTCTGTGAAAATTGACTTGTAGGTTCTAAGTTTGGGTTTGTGAATAAATTAAACATGTTTCAGGTAAATTATGATAACTATTCATAAATTTAACAAACAATTCTAGATCAATATAAGGTGTTTATACAAGGTGGAAAATTAAAAAGGATCCACCCGGATTTTCTCGAAAATTATCAGGAAATTAAAAAAACGCCGAAACACGTCGATTTTGTTTGCAAGGAAGACATTTTTTGGCTATTCCAAAATTTTCCTAGATTGCACCAACTTACCGGGGTGAGTTGCACCCTCAAAACTTGAATAGGGAAACTGGGCCGAGTGGTATTTTGTTTGACAGGTATTTGAGATGACTTTACACATCTGTAATTTATTTCGAAATCTGACTACTAGTTTTCAGGATATTCGCCTCGGCAGTTGCCATGGGGCGAAAAGAGAACGTGTTTTTCGTACATTTCTACAAGAAATAATTGAAATTCCTGAAACACGCCAATTTTATTTATTTTGAACCTTTGATTCTTTGTTGGTTTGAACCTTTTGAACAACCTTTCAAACATGACCTACTTTTCATTTTTTTCACGAAAAACACGTTATCTTTTCGCCCCATGGCAACTTCCGAGGCGAATATCTTGAAAACTAGAAGTCAGATTTCGAAAAAAAAATACAGATCTGTAAAGTCATCTCAAATACCGCTCAAACAAGGTACCACTCGACCCAGTTTCCCTATTCAACTTTTGAGGATGCAACTCACCCTGGTAAGGGGGTGTAATCTAGTGTTCGGCGTTTTTTTAATTTCCTGATAATTATCGAGAAAATCCAGGTGGATCCTTTTTAATTTTCCACCCTGTATGTATATAACTAGTTTTTGTTGTGCCGATAGATGTTTTTGCAACTCCATCAGATTGGTGCCAATTTGAACTGACGCCACTCCGCTTGTGTGAAATTCCAATCTTTTGCAGCTTATTTGAGTGCGAAAGTTGAAAAGGGCATATGTCTGCAGTTAACAAGATAAGGATTCCCAATTTGGCTGTACTGGCCCTATATCAAACTTTATGGCTAAACAAAAACATACCTATACTTACCTACCTAATTGAGAGAATTTGGTATCAACAAGCGACAATTAGTAAACCATTATATTATTTATCATTTATTTAGAAGCAAGAAGTAGGTTTACCTACGAATTTATTTCTTGGCAACAGAAACAAATTAAGATCCTTAGAAGTTAAAGGAATTATAGAAATTTGAGGACTTGTTAGGACCAGAACCTTGAGATTGTAGAAATCTTATAATTGTCAATTTAGAACACTGAAAATAAATTTGTTCGCTTTATCAATAAACACCATTCATCGAAATTTGTTTATTGGCACAATGAACAAGTTTACTACGTTAACGAATACATTCTTTATTAAGTCAATTATCAGGAGTTATTGGTTGATGGACAAAATTATTGGTTTAACGAATTACTATTACTTTTTCCCTACCAAGTCGGTAAATTTTTTTTAATGACCCAATATAAATCCGGTTTAGTAATCCAGTAACACATAACATCAAGCCCATTCACGTGCATTGATGAACAAAATTCGTTAGATCAACGAATACTGGGTATTAATTGATAAATATATTCGTTGTATCAATGAATTATTTCGATAGATGAATGAACATGCGTACATTAAATTGGTTCAACGAAACATGTTAATTGATATTGGGAATAATTGTACGTCAGGACAATGAATTCAATCATTAACTGATGTAAGGGTTTCTTTGAACCAATAAACTCGTTCATTGACCTAAGAAACGTTCATTGACTTAATGAACCTTCATTGACTATGATGAACGCATTCGTTGGGCCAATAAATGCGTTTATTAGGCTGATAAACTCTACATGAAAAATATGAGATTTTAATTGATTTCCTAAAAGTACAAGAGGAAACGTTGAAGAGAAGTCTATAAAATGTTTGCTGGACCAAGAAGCCCTTCTTTATCTGGCCAGCAGCCAACGAACATGAACGATCAATTGAATTAATAAATACGATCATTGCTATA